CAAAACAAATGAAGTATATGTCCCTATAAAGACTTATACTCCACATAAAGAAGTAAAGCCATTCTACTTGTACATACATAGTTTTAAGACAAATTAAAGTTTTTTAAAATGTCCATAAAAGGACTTGCACACGTAAGTTCACAACTCTGTAAATAGGAAACAATCAAATGTCCACCAGTAATTGAATCTAAACAATATATAGCCACGTAATACTGAAAGAAAAGGAAATGAAAGTGATACATATAACATGGATAAACATCAAAATTATTTTAATGAGTATAAGAAACCAGACAAAAATACACACTGTGAGCTTTCCCTTACATAAACTCCAGAAAATATAAACTAATCTACACTGATAAAAATAAATAAGTAGTAATTACCTGGGGACTAAGGAAAGAAGGAAAAGTTAGGAGTGGTTTTACATTTTCTAACAGTAATAGAAATTTATCCCTTCTAATAGTGTTTTTACAGATATTTACATATGCCAAAACTTAAGCAATTTATATACTATCAATACATGCAGTTTAGTACTGTCCATGTCAATTAACTCTAAATAAATTTATTGAAAAATAGAATTAAGGAAATGAAAATGCCTACCAAATTAATGGGATAAAATGACAAATAGCCTGCATCCGGAACATACTAAATATTTTTACATAATAATAAAGACGAACACCCCAAAATAGCCCCCCAAATTTAAACAGATATTTCACTGAAGAAAACAGAGAAAGTAATGGCCAATAAGCATGACAAAAATGCCCAACATCGTTACAATCAGGAAAATATAAAATCACTTCACTATGACAAAAATAACTAAACTAAAAGACTGATGACACTACATGGTAGTAGTGACAGCATGCAGAAATAGAAACTCAAATTCATCCACATTGCTGGGAGGTGTCTGAAATGGTACAAACACTGCGGAACAATTTGGTAAGCATTTTCACTTCCTTTTATTTCCATTTTGTTGAACAGTATTTCTATTAAACAAACTGGCCAGGCATGGTGGCACACGCATGCCTATAATCCCAGCACTTGGGAGGCTGACACAGGAGAATCTTTGAGTGTTTGAGACCAGCCTGGGCTACAAAGTGAGCTCAAGGCCAGCCTGAACTACATAGTGAGACTCTGTCTCAAAAAGACTAAATAAATAAATAAATAAATAAATACAAACAAACAAACAAACAAACAAACAAACACCAAACCACTGCTAGGCTCAGAAAAGAACTACAGAGCTTTAGACTTCAACTAGGAAGCACCTGAAGAACAACACAAGTCAATAAAGAAAGATTACACTTACCACAGAAAAAAGTGACTCAAAGTAAAACATCATACTCAGCTCAAATGAGTATTGTCCCAGGGCCCACTCATCTCTGGAGAATCATTTACTTTCCAATGAAACTGCCTATAGCAGCACACTTCCCTCAATACATGAAGAAGGCTATGTACATAGGCTGGGCATGGTAGTGCATGCCTGTAATCCCAGCACTAGGGAGGCTGAGGCAGGAGGGTTGTTGCGAGTTTGAGACCAGTCTGGGCTACAAAGTGAGCTCAAAGCCAGCCTGAACTGCATAGCGAGACCCTGTCTCAAAAAAAAAAAAAAAAAAAGAAAAAAAAGAAAAAAAAAGTGGCTACATAAGGCTCTGAATCTTGCTGGGATGTTGGGTGCTCACCAACTTGTGATGCTCCTGTGCACATAAATTTACATGCCTTTTCTCTGTTAATCATTTGACTGTCAGTGCATTTCTCAGACTCAAATATTCGATTTCAATAGGTGTTAGATTTCTCTTGCCCTTGGAATACATTATAAAGCTCAACTAATTATAATAGGGTAGTATTCCAGCAGGGATACATAAAATCTAACAATAGATTAGTAGTCCAGAAACAGACATATGCAGATATTTGACTTATTAAAAAAGATGGTACTAAATGAACAGAAAAATAATATACAAGTATCAACATGGAAACCACTCAACATTACACCACACACAAAAACCAATTTCAGGTAGACTACAGACCTAATTGTGAAAGGAAAACAAGAAAGGTTCTAGAAACTAATGAAGGAAAATATCTTCAGGACTTCAGACACAGAAAAGATCAATGAATTGTTCCAACTAAATTAGAATTAAGAACCTGTGTTCAACCAAAAATCTTACCAAAAGAATAAGACAAGTCACACAACAGGTAAAAGATATCTGCAACAAAAATAATCAAGTAAGGACTCTTATTCCAAATATACAAGTAATTTTTACATTTCAGGTACAGACAACTCACTAGGAATGCAAGAAATAGACTTGAAGACACTATTTACAAAAAAAGTGATTCTAGTGAAATTGTACTCATTCATCAGCAATCAGTAAAATGCAAATCATAACTACAATAAAACAGTACTGTGGGCTTAAAAGAATGATTGAAATTAAGCAGTCAAAAATTAAGAATTGGGCTGGGAATATAGCTCAGCGGCATAAGCGCCTGCCTAGTAACTGCAAGGTCGTGAGTCTGATTCCCAGTTAAAAAAAAAAAAAAATTAAGAATTAAAAGACTGACTAGTAAGTGTTGGTGAAGATAAGACAAAAAAGGAATTTTCACATGCTGCTGGTAGGTATGTAAACTAACACATCCACTTCAGAATAAAACTGCAATTATCAATGAAAGCTGACTACAGGATATCTTGTGAGCCAGCCGTGCCCTGCTGGGTACTTTCAACAGAAACATAAGCATGCAGGCATCTCATATACAAAAATGTTGACAATAATAGTGCTCAAGTATGTAAAACCCCCCCAAAACACTAAACGGAGGGAATGAACAAGTATAAATACACAAACCAGCATGGACAGATTTCATAAATATAATGTTGGGCGAAAGAAGACATAGACAAAAGAATTACATTATGATTACATTCCTACTAAGTTCAAAAGTAAGCAAATCCAAATTGTAAGGTTAAGATGCACATATCCACAGGCCAGAACACTACAGATTATAATTTAGAAAAAAAATGTTGATCTTTAGGGGAAAGTAGGAAAATTCATTTGGTATTTAGTTAGAATACTCAAAGAAATGATGATGGAATATATAATTAACACACCAATGACAACTGACACTGTTGATTGGTTTGGGGCAGCAGGTAAGAATAACTTCACTTTTATGAAGGAAAGCTGTATCTTATTAAGTAGAAAGAATTGTTTGTTGAAAGGAATTCCAAATGTGTTTAGAAGTTTTCACAAGGAAACTGAGTAGCCCAGGGAGTGAACTATGTCAACTATTTCTTTCCCATCAACCCCAAATGGACTGGCTCTCAGCTTCACTCTGAATGCTCCTTTGCCAGGTGGACATACTAAAGCTTTGTCGGTAGATGGTGCTAGAGGGTTATGGAAGTAGAAAGGACTTCCTTGCAGTTGGGTGGGTTTTCATGTGTTTTTACCAGCTCTGGGGTCTACCTGCACCTTAAGGCAATGGATGGGAGTGGGGTGGCTCCCCTGCTTGCCCATACTGATCAGCAGTTCCTTTCCTATCAGTCCTGACCAGATTACTATGGACCAGCTATGCTCAGGGGCAACCCAGTAGACTACTCTGCTATCTGTTGAGCTCAGCTAACATATTCAACAATGCCTGAATGCCAGTCATAGGACAGGGAACCCCCTTTTTAAGTTTACTTATTTCTTGAGAACACCCCCTCCCCTCCGCTGAGGGATATTTTTTATCTTAGTGGCTAACCCCTTCATATTAAATTGTCCCAGTAGAGACACTGGCTATATTTCTATAAAATACTACTATTACTTCTTTTTTACTAAGTACTGATGACATTCTGTTGGTATCGTAACATTCAAATCCCATTACTATTATATTACAATAATCATTTATCGGAAGTCAAAAATTACTTAATGGTGATTATATGTCAAACATTATTCTAAGTAGTTTACTTATATTAACTCATTAATCTTAACAATTACGCTATGATAACAAGTATCTTTTCTGCAAAAAATACAAATCCTCTAGCTGGAATTATTCAATATAAAAATTAAACAAACTTGTATAATCATGTTTGCTGTGAAGTTCACGATAGTTACATTAATGCATACAATGACTTTGCCTTTTTAAAATCTACATTCCTACCCAATATTTTAAAAAGTTAAACTTTATTTTCTTGATCACAAAACAATGGTGAATTATTGTTGCTGCTCAATAGCTGCAAAACATCTTTTCTTTTGTTTTTGTTTTTTAAGACGGGGTCTCACTACGTAGTTCAAGCTGGGCTTAAGCTCACTATGTAGCCCAGGCTGGCCTCCAACTTGCTGTGATCCTCCTGCCTCAGCCTCTCAAGCACTAATAGGTACACAGCATCATACTTGGCTTAGAAAAAAAGTCCTTACAACAAATTCCTGACCATTTATAAGAGCAGAAGAAAATATGTTTAAAAACAATCCTAAAGTATAACTGCAGATAATATCAATTTAGTTTATTATGTCTGTTTGTCTGTGTCAAATTCATTAGTATGAGTCCCACAGCTACAGGAAAAACAGCCAAAGGACTTAAATAACCAAGAGCCAATACACATTTCATTTGTAAAAATAGTCATTACACTTATTTTACAAGCAGCCAACTCAGATACAAAGAAATTAATGTGTCCAAGAAGTGAAAGTAGAAATATGAACACACACTGCCTGGCTCCTCTGTATGACCCCATACAGACTTCTGTCTACAGACTTCTGTTGAGAGCTGTGAGTAGCAGAGCTTGCTAAAACTTCCTGACTAGGTACTATCATTATTCTTGCTTTACAGACAAGAAAATTAAAACTGGTCCAAAGTTAAATAACTAAGTGATTAAATATGAAATATGAGTTGATTCCTGTTAAATATTTTGGATGAAGCAAGGACATTTAAAACACATATCAGCTACAGAGAGAAAATATACATTTTACATCGTTAAATATGAGACAAAACGAACAGTTGTAATGCTAACTCTGCCTACCTTATGTACTATGAAGTTAACATACACTTACCTGCAAGGAGGTAAGACCATGGAGTCTTTCACAAGTACAGATCCAGAAAGAAGGATATACCAACATCTGGCAATTGTTTCTGAACTGTTTAAATAAATAAGTAAATACACATGTTCACATGTATGCAGATATGCTGAAAATACTTCAAGTCATTAAGAATTAAAAAAACAATGCTGGGAAATCTGGGAAATTCTACACGCTGCCTAAAGTTTTACATAGATCCAGTGACCGTGGGGGAAAAACCCAGATAAATATTAACAGGTAAACAGAACACAGGCACAGGGGGAGCTACATCACTAGTACACAAAAAATGCAATGAACGTTTAAAATACTTAAAGAAAATCACCACAAATTAGTCCACATTATAGACTTGTGATAAAAATCATGTATATTCACTGTTTAGTGGGTTTATCACTGTTTATTGTTATATGTTTATTCACTGTTTATTGGGATTATCATTGTTTAGTGATAATCAAAATCAGGACCTTTTACCCCAATTGATAAAGTAATACAGAATAAAAACCACAAAAACATGACAGCCCTTAACCCCATAATTTTATTCCAAGGAATATCTCATAGACAAATCATTCTTATCTCTGCATAACAGACTTTCAGATGAGTTCATTTTTCATGTTTTCTAATTTTCCTGTTATTACTATGGTAACAGAAACAAATTATTTTTAAAACCCAACATAAGAATATGTACACAGCTGGGCGTAGTGGTGCACACCTGTAATCACAGCATTCGGGAGGCTGAGGCAGGAGGATCGTTGTGAGTTCGAGACCAGCCCTGGCTACAAAGTGAGCTCAAGACCAGCCTGAGCTACATAGTGAGACCTTGTCTCAAAAAGGCAAAAAAAAAAAAAAAAAAAGAATATGTATATAAACATTAATCATAGCAGTAATCTAAATATCTAGTACTAAAAGCAACCTAAATATATAGTACTATTAGAGTGATTTAATAGATCATAGTATAATCACTATTATGGGCACTATACAATTATTACAAACTACAACTACATAAAGGCATAAGTACATGTAAAGAAGTGCATATAAAGCAGTCAAACAGAATATATACATACCATAAAGAAAAGACAAATGCACATATAAGGCATAATACAGAAAAAAACCCAGCATAGCAGGATTGGGACTAAGGGTGAATTATTATTACTATTATTGCTAAATCATGCCTAGATGGAAAAGAGGTGCTTAAAAGTGGGCACAACTAACAGTTCTCAAGAATTCAGAGAAAGAAGGGGAAGAAAGGGTTATCAATACTCAGGGAACATTTGGCAATTGGTGCTATTTTAGTATAATCTACTTTTGAAATATTTCACTTTAGGTTAGAAAATATTTGCTCATAAACGTATGTCACTTCCCAGGAAGAACCAGGCAAGACATAAGATGCTTGAAAGATATGCTCAGAGCCTACTTGTGGGAGAGAATTATATTTATAGATTAGGCCGCTGATGAGTATTTACATCTGTACCTAATTTAAAATTTAACAGGCTAAATGAATCTTCAGTAGCCTGATTTAAGTAATTCTAATTTAAAGCCACTTTAATCTATTTTAAAGGACCTGTGCTTTATGATTTTTTCCTAAATCATGAAACTCCTAAGCAAAACTTTTGTCTAATGCTGTATAATCCTTTATGCAACTCAATTACTTTTACCAAAAGTTCCGGTTTTTCAGATTTCCCTTTTTAATACTCACTTGCTAGAGGTTTACACTAAAATGTGATGTTGGACAGTAAAATCCTAAATTTTACCTTTGTTCAAGTTTATACTCATTAAGCCTTTTAAGCCTTAATAACCAGGCACAGTGAGGAAAACACTTAAGGAAAAACTATACATTTTCATTAAAAAAAAATTCCTAAAAATTCTCTTCATAATTTTATAAAACCAATGAAAGGAAATTTACACAGTAATCTTACTGAGATCTGACTCATCTCTAAGATAAAGGAATACTAGTACTCAGAAGAAAAACATTCTTAAGATGTTTCTTATTCCTAGGCTACATCAGGCACCATAAATGCCCACGTCATGTCAACTCCAAGTCTCAAATGTGCACTTGGTTCTAGACAGACTTGTTTCTGACTAATCTTCATCCTAACCCTCATCCAATCCTTACACTAACCCACTAACACTGGAACTCACAGTCTGACATCTGGAAAATATCTTACATTCTCGATGTGTTCTCCCGGTATTTCCTGAGGACAATGCTTCCTCTACTACCACTTCAAAATGGTACATGTTTTCTCTCACGCATTCCTCCTATCAATGGAGCTAGAGACAAATCAGTGTCCTCTCCTTTTACCTAATTCTAAACCATGTTTTTCCTCTTCTCACTAAAAATTATAACTTTGAATCTTAGAACATCAGATCATACCCTTACTGTCTTCTGACACAACCAATTACAAACAGCAAGGATCACTCCTCGTTTCTTACAGATTTTAAATCTTGGTTTATAAATACCCTAATATTATTTTTGACAGATTTTGTAATGACATTAATATTAATCCTTCTGACATGATGAATTATGTTTCTTGATCTCTTCTTTAAAGATCTTACTCTGTATTCCACTTCAGACATGCACTTTCATGGTCAATCACCAGAAATCTTGCATCAGCAATAACAATAACACCTTTATAATCTGAAGTCCAAGCATCTGTTCTTCTTTCTCACTCATTCTGTTACCCAGACTTCCAAAATCTATTTGTTCTCTAATGATCCCACCATCTTTTTTCTGTTCTTCTTTTCTGAACCCAACACAAACTCCACATTAAATTACCATTATCATTCTTTTGCAAGCACTCCCTCAACTGCCCTTATTCTCATGTTATTTGTACTTAGTAGGCTAGATAAATCCAACTCTCTGCCTACCTCCACTTCTATCCCAGCAACAGAACGTGGCTGATGAGAAAACACAGCTATCATAAACTTCAGGTGGGCTTTCAGAGTTGCCTAGCAACCATAATTATCTCTGGATCCATTTAGTCCACTCTCATCAAATATCAGATATTTCTTTCCTCATCCAAACTCTCAATTCATTATCTTTATTCCTTAGTCATTGAGAAAATACAAGCTATCGAAGAAAACTTCCCCTAACAGCTACCACATACATCACACAGCATTCTCACCTGCATCAAGACATCTATGTATACTCTTGTCTGCCAAAGTCAAAACCAAACAAAACATATCTAAATACTTTCTATGGGAAGACAGATTAATAGTTCAACTTTTCATACAGTGGCAATTAATAAAAATTATCATGACTGCTGAGAATGGAACCAAATCTAAAACAAACAGGAAAAATATTATTTTTAATATGCTCAAGAAAAAAAAAGCACAAGATAGCTTGACCTACACACGGAGATCCATTAAATAAAGTAGAAACCTACAACTGAAAAATGCAATTAAAAATAAAAATTCAAATGGTGGGCTTAATATAAACATTAAGAACAACAGAATTTGGAATCTATGAATCAGAAAATAAGTCAGAGAAAATACAGGAACAGAGAAAAAAGGGTGGAAAACACAGAAAACAGTATGAACAAAATAGGGACAAAGGAAACCAAGGGAGAAACAGGAAATGGAATTAAGAAGCAACAGGAAAAAGTACTGGCTAAGGATTTTTTTAAAGCTGATGAGAAACACTACATCACAGAATGAATGAGTTCTACAGATCCTGAACAAAATAAATCCAAAAGAATCACAGGAACATTAGATGCAACTGCTGACAAGCAAAGAAAAAAAATCTCAGTAGCAGCCTGGGCAAAAAAATGTGTTAACTGCAAAGGAGTAACAGTAACATTAACTGCTGAGTCTTCAACATTTGCACAAGCCAGAACATGACAGAACAACATTTTAAAAGTTTTAAGGAAAAAACTGCTAAGCTAGAATTCTAGACGGATCAAAAATTATGCTTCTTAAACATTACTGTGAAAAATTAAAGGTAACCAAATAAAGAGTACACACTTCTGCAGACTTAAATATATTTACATAGATGTACTTACAAAAATGTCAAGTCTTTCTAAAATAATTTAGCTTTAATGCTATTCTAAGCTCGTACCTCTCCAACAAGTTTTTATATGTATACATGTGTGAAAACACACACTATGAAATGTCAAAATATGTAGAATAATTGAGAGGGCACAAATAGCATGAAGATAAACCAAAACAAGCAAAATACAGAGAGGAAAAAATATGTATGTATAAGCGGCTGCTACAACATACCAGGGGAGAAGGTTTTCCAACTAATGTGCTGGGTCAAATGAACACCAACACAGGTAAACAACAAACTATGTCAATGATTAAATCTAAGCTTTGAATAAAAATTTTCAATTTTGGAAAACTCGCATTTAATACTGAGCTTCATACTTTCCTACGCTTTTTGGAAGAAACCAGTACAGAAAGTGAGCAAATGTCACTTTTCGTAATTTATTTAAAAAATGTGCCCACATGAGAAAACTATACAACCCAGTACCATCAATACTTCCCAAATGACCAATGTATGCTGTTACAAAATCAGGCATGGGCCGGGTGTGGTGGTACACACCTGTAATCCCAGCACTCAGGAGGCTGAGGCAGGAGGATCATTGTGAGTTTGAGGC